GTTTTTAGTAATAAAGCACGTGCAGGCAAGCACAAGCATATATATATATATATACGTATATATATGGGTGAAGGCATGGTGTTCTTTCCTCCGCTTCTATGAAGCTATTCTTACTTATTTAGGCCTGCACAGACACACACACACACACACACGTACACACATGCCAATTATTGTACTGTCATTTCTTCTTTAATTCTTCAAGATCCCATTTTTATCCATCCCTCTCCCACTTCAGCAGACTCTTTTTTTTTTTTTTTTTTTTTTTAACTTTCATTATTCCTTTCCTTTCTTCACAACACCCCTCCAATGCCTCTCTCATGGAAGGAGTCCTCTGCACTTGCCCCTTTCCCGCCCATACTGCACTACGGGGCATCCTGACTGGTAAAGACAAGTCCAAACCGCCGCGCCGCAGAAGAGCTCCCGGGCAGCGGTGCGGAGTAATTGAAGGTAAACTTCCATACTGTGCTGATATTGCGAACAACAGCCAGCATGACGCGTGAATTCACAAGGTCCAAATTCATCATCATCTGTGCACCGCACGGCGAGCGGGCCTCTGTGCCGATAATAACGCGCCCCCTTTCCACCAGTGCCACAGCGCCCATAAGAGGTTTCACTGGGATGCGGGTATGGACTCCCAGCCCACGGGTAGCGTTATATTGAACGATAAAATCACCTCCCAGCACTGCCGAGCAACCAACGCGTAAAAAGGCAACCGTGTAATCTATCAGGCCACTGCGGCTTGGGTCATACTCCACGCATGCCCCCAATTGATTCCGCATGGAAAGCTGCGTGGATGTGGTAAATTTGGATCGGAATCCATCCATAAAATTCACCTCGGATGAGCATGTAAATTGAGGGTGAGAAAAGGAGTAGGAAAAAAGGGGCGTCATTGCCAACCGCAGGAGAAATTCGTGCTGCTGGCCCCGCAGAGACCGTGTCCATGAAAAGGTAGGAAGAACGTCCCGCCATGTCGCCTTCGGGTTTGAACTCACATCGGCCGAAAGGGTAATGTCTCCTTTCCTATATGAGAGATGTACTCCCACACCCTCTGCATTGGCAAACGGGTAGCCAACCAGCATGTTGGACGGGATAGACTCCTCCCTGGTGTCAATGCGGCAACCACACTCATTTGATCCTCTAGTGGCGTACTTCTCCACGGTATCCACCAGTTCCACAAATTGATTAGGTGCCATCGCTCCCTTCTTTCCTTCTTCTCACAGAAAGGACCCGCTCTTCTCGTGTGTCAAAGCTCAGGTGTCTGGCAAAAATCAATGAAAGAAAAGAGTGCACGGTGTATATGCATCGATAACTCTAGAAAAGAACTGGGGAAAAACAAAACTGTGATGGAGTCCATACATGACGGACACATTTCTCAAAAAAATTACCGATGGTTTTTATACAAAAAAAAGGAAAAAAAAAAAACATTTTTCAAGCACTCACTCGCACTTGCACCCGCACTCCGCCTCCGCCCCTCTCATTCTCCCCTTCTCTTTCCCCCTCACAGAGGGAGAAACAGGCAGGGAATACAAATACGCACACGCACACACACAAAAAGACTTCCCAGTCCTTTTCTTCTCTGGAAGGAATTTCCTACTCGTCCCTCCTGTTTCTCCGGGCTTTTCAAGAAGGAACGTCCCTCCCTCCCTCCCAAAAAAAAAAAAAAAAAAAAAAAAAAAACCGCCCAAACAACACCACAACATTGCAAATTAACAGTAAAAAACGGAAAAAAAAAATAATAATAATTTATACTCTCGGAGAGATTAAAATGATACTTGTCGCATTGAAGTGCTTCCACAAGCCCTCTCCGTATTTTCTTTTTTTCCCTCACTTTCCTTTTTTTTTTTTTTTTAAATCGCGGCGGCGTGTCGGTTGCCGCTATTTAGACAAACGTCCCTCCAAAAAGGCATCAAACTCATCATCTTCGCCAGCGGGTTGCTTACTCTTCTCTTCTGGAGACTTCTCATGGGGATCCGGCTGCTTCTGTGTTTCTTCCTGTTTTGATTGATTCTCCTCTTTTCCTGCCATCAGCACCTCTTCCTCCTTCTCTGGAACACTTGGAATTGGCTCAGAGGGGGGCATATCCGCCTTCGTTAACAACAAATCCACATTGTCATTATATTCGCGTGAAGAAGTTTCTGCGGCAGGTGCAAGGGATTCCGTAACAGGCGCAGAGACAAAAAGGTTTTCCATGACCTTTGATGCCTCTTGCGCGGGAGACGGCTGGGACCCTTCCGCCTCGCCTGCGGCCTCTCGTGTTCCTGCCTCTAATGCCGTGGGAACCGCAACAGGCTCCACTTGGGACATGGGTGGGTTCATCGCCGGCGTCATTCCGACCCCTTGACCCCCTGAAGAAGCTGCAGCTGCAGCCGGAGGGTTCGGGGTCGTCACCTGAGGAAGGTACCTCTCTGTCGGAGCAACATCTGTGACTCGGCTCGGTGCGGGAGTTTGGTCTGGATGTAACTTTACATCGCTCTGTAGTCGCTGGATGAGGGCACTTTGGCTATCGAATACATCACGGAGGGTGTCGCGGTTGTTAAGCTTAAGGTCGGAGCTGAGAAGCACCGTCACTCTCTTGTGGTCAGCCAGGATTCTATCACGAAAACCAGAAATAACATCATCGGGTTTAATAGAGCCATCTGGCTGAACCTTTGCGTTATTCAAATACTCCGCCAGGGTCATGCAGCAATCCAGCATGGCGGCAAGGTCCTCCTCCGTTGGGAAATTGATCCCCACGGCATCTACAACAAGCCCTTGTTGCCGCTGCTGCTGCTGATGCTGCTGCTGTCGTCCGGTTTGCCTTGGCTGTCTGTTAAAACGAGGATTATGTTGCTGCTGGCGCATTACCGAAGAATTTAGTTGCGTGGTGTCATGCTGAATTCCTTCAAATGCGTTTGGACCAATTGCATGCCGCACATCATCGCTGATTGTCGTCAAGATGTACAGCCGCCCATCTGGATGGCCGGTGAACCATATGGAAAGATTCAAAATGAGTGCCAATGCGGCCTCCTTTGCCATGCGCTCCTTTTCCGTAACGCACGGCGTTCGTATGGCGACGTTCTGCAGATCCCGCAGCAAACCCTTCTGCGAGGCCACCTCCACATGCAGCGCATTGTCGCAGTTCTTTATTAACATGCCAAGAACGAGTACTGTCAGAAGCTGAACCTTGGCGTCACTGTCTGTGATGCGCCGCCGCACAGCCCGCACAACATCCTCCGCGGCATCCCCCGAGGAGTTCGCGCTGTCGCACAGAAAGGCAACAGACTCATATTGCGGCGTTGATAACTCTGGCTTCGTGGCCTCCACCACAATATCCATGTACGGTGTCGGTATCAGGCGGGACGCCGCATCCTTGACATTTTCTAAAAATGAAAGAACCACCATAACTTTTTCTTTTTTGTTTCCGTTTGTTTCCGTGTGTGTGTGTGTGTGTGCTTCTTCTGCTTCTCCCGCCCCGTTTATCCGTCCGGCGTGACAAACGCAACGAACACAGATAATATAAAATCACTTTCTTTTTTCCTTGTTTCTCAGGTGATTTATACCGCCGCCTCACTCTTATCCCAGGGCCCCGTCTGACTGTGTGCAAAAAAAAAAAAAAAAGAGAGAAAAAGAAATATATTTATATTTATATTTGCCCTACTTCTTTGACTAGCACTTCTATCAACAAATAAACGTCACCCTGCACGGCCCATTTCCGCCAATACAAAAAAAAAAAAAAAAAAAAAAAAAGAAAAAAAAACAGAAAAGGCAGCACCAAACTTGCAGCCAAAAAGCCCCGCAAACGCATGCAAAAATTCCTCATAATTGGGTCCAAATGCCGTCTCGCGCCCCCCGTTTTACAAACTTCCATCCATTCCTCACACAAAAGTTCTGTATGTGTATATATGTATGTGTATATATAAAACTGACGGAGGGAAAAACACGGAAAAAGAAAACGCACGAAAGGACTTTTCAGCTACACAAGCAAAAAGCAAACGCCACCAAAACTTCCCCTCTCTCTCTCTCTCCCATATGTAGCGTTAGATTCCTCCTTCTACCCCACAAGTCGACAACAACACAACTCAAAAAAGAAAATCATATATATATATATATATAATATCTATATAAAAATAAATAAAATAAAATAAATAAAATTAATATATCAGTCATCTCCCATTGTATTTATACCGCCTTCTACAAGCCTCTCTTTTTACCAGTGTCGTACACACACATGCAATTACGCCTTTACCATTTTTTCCTGTTTTGTTTGCTTTTGTGTGTGCGTGTGTGTGTGTGTGTGTGCTTGCTCGGTTTCGTGTCCTCACCACCCAGAGAGTGACATGCGTTACAAAAAAAA